AGCCCAATGCCTCCCTGAATATTTATAGCCAGTAGTGGTTGATGGGGGTGGGAACATACATTTTCTTCAATGGTGTAAGCACTGGTAAGGTGCCTATGTTCCTGTAAATAACTCTTCCTCGATCCTCATATGGTAAGCAGCCCCAATGACATTCATTGGTTGTAAAGAAAAAAAAAATCAAGAAAAGGAAATAGAAAGAATAGTTGGGAAGAGGAAGAGTATGAGTAGAAGTGAAAGATGCTATGATAAAAAACCCTGCCCTGCTTGTGCTCAGGGCTCTCTGCTCTCACTGCTGTGTGGGACAGACAGACCAAGCTCTGGAGCTTAAAAAGAAAGGCTCTTTACTTTTACATGTGGGATAGGTCTCCAAGGTGGTCTTTTGGGGGTCCCCATAATCTGAGCATAACAGGCCACTGCCCAGAGCAACACATGGGTCAAGAGAACCCGTCTGTCTCATGGTCCATTAAACTCCCAACAGATCCGACAGCTCAGGCAACCTGCATGGAAGGCAATACCCACTCACCATGCTGTGCTTTATAGTCTCCCTTATGACTCCCTATAGCTGCATTAGAGGAGAACTTTCGGGGAAAAACCCCCACAATCTACCCCCCACTGGTGCTCCTGATAGCTAGGCTTGCCCACAATCCCTCAATAGCTAGTATTACCTGACTGGGTCTCAGGACAGTATCAGTTCCCCTACCTGAAGAGCAGAGATCAAATGACTAAGGCAGCACAGGCCTTCCCAGCTCTGCCCTTCCATCCTAGGGGCAGATAAGGCTCTAGTCTGGGAAATTTGTATTTTATTAGAAACTCTTCCAATCTCTCAGAGTACTTCCTGTTCCTCTTCCAAGATACAGTGTCCTGTGTGTGTGTATTCCATTACAAAGTAACTTATCGGTACAGCCAACCCTTTCCTTCATAGCTGGGAAATCCTACAGCCAAACATAGGTCAGATGCAAACACTAACAGTTGTTAAAGCAAAAAGAGGCCATAAATTAGAAGACAACAAAGTGTCTATGGAAGGGCTTTCAGGCAGGAAAAAGATAATGGAAATGATGAATATAATCTTCAAAATTATTTTAAAAATTTGCAACAGGCTTTATGGCCATGTGCTCCAGAGACTGGGAATTTGTATTAGAGCACACCAAGAATTAGCCACACGTTTTCTCTCAGGCTATACATCTTAAACCTGTAAAATAACGTTCTTTTAGGGGATGGTCAGAGCATTTTATCTAGTTCTATTTTGGTCAAACTAGTGTAACTACTGCAAATTTGGTTTCATGATAAGTTCAGTTCTTTATCCAGATTCTTGATTACCCAATCTGTGGATATAAGGAAAGGCCAGTCAGAACATTTATCAATCATCTAAAATTGATTACCTCAATATTTATTTCTAATGTTAGCCAACCACATTCTCACTAGATTCCACGGTCCTCTGACCATACCACATTGACGATTTTCATCTTGGATAACCTTTAAATCCTGAAATCCTCCCCGCCACTTTCTAAGTACCATGATTAAAGGTCTATGCAACCATGTCAGGATTAGGTAGCTTCCACTTCATTTAGTGAGCCATTACAAAGATGGAATGAGTAAGATGAGCAGTTACACAAGAATATTCAAAGACCACTTATCTCTGTGTGCCTGGGTTTCACCATCTGTAGAATAAGGACAGTATTCTGCCCTTGGTGAATTATAGTTGACTCAAAGATAAAGAAAAAGAATACTGCTCATAGTTGGAAGATAGTGGATTTTAAGGGAGGAGGGCTGCATTTGATGTGAGCTGCCTTTTGTTACTGCAATTAGAACCAGAACCTGTGTCCTGGCTATTCTAATCAGCCAGGCTCAGGAACTCACCCTTATTAAGCCAATTAAAAGAACCAAATTATACTAGGGGGTGGTGGTACAGGACTTTAATCCTAACACTGGGGATGTAGACACAACTGGATCTTTGTAGATTCAAAGCCAGCCTGGTCCACCTATAAATCGGGTACACAGGAGAAAAGGTAGGGAAATCCCTCTGATGGTCTAGAAGAGCTTAGTCTATATAGTGAGTTGTAGGCCTGCCAGATATTCATACTGAGACTATTATTTAACATAAAAAAGAAACAATAGAAAATCATTAATAAAAATTATAAATGTGACACTTTTTCAGTGTGACTTATTTGGAACAGTAATGAAGATAAAGGTAATTAATCCATCCTTGGGGATCCTAACATGTTTAGATGATGGCAAGAGATGACAACTAAGTAATATAACTAAGCCATACAATGAAAATTTTCTCATCTACAAAACACTTCTGCAACCTCAAATCTAATCTCTCCCACAAGGTGGTCAGATAAGAAGTAAATCTTTTTTCAGTAGAGACGTTCTTATCAGAAGTCAGATGTTTCCCACAATGAAATTATCAGGGAAATTAGAATTTAATGGTTTCTACTGTTTCACTATTTTTTAGACAAAGTGAGAGATATAAATGTCTCCTCAACTATCCTTATTTCTGCCAGGCAGGCAGGTACCTGGGATTAATGGGGTGGACACTGAGGTGTGTTAAGGTCTCAGTGGGGACTGCAAAGTGGGGGTTTCAGGGCACTGTCACTAACAGCTAAATGAGTTGCCATAAATGCCATGAGTGGAAGGTGTAGATGGGGGCTGATTCACGACAGCTCAGTGGATAGAGTACATTCATGCCAGCTTGTCCTCAGCTACACCCCATGCACTGCTCAGGGACATCTGATTCTAGGGCTTTTACACCCAAGGCTCCCTCACTAACAGTTCTTTCAATTCTACAGATCATTGTAAATGCCTGATTGCCTTAGCCTGAGAGTGACTTCAGTTCAAGTCTCAGGATATCCTGACAACCTGGATGTCATCTAGAGTCACCACCATTCAGAGCTCTTAACTGAAGGTTTTGCAGGCACCAGGAGAGTAGAATATGATCCCATTCAGACAAGTCAGACTTCATGTCTGAAAGTTCCTTTTCTCTCATATAGGAGGTATTAACTCAGGAAGGCATACACCTGACATGTGAGCTTCTGGAATCCCATTGCTGCCAATTTACCAAATTGGAGATAAACCCACTCTTGTGGCTTTGGTTAAATGGTCAACCACCATTCAAAAACTTTTATTGTGAGTTTCTGTCCTGATCATCTTTTGTACTTTTCCCTCATTTTGTGGAGATTTGGGCTTAGAAAATTCTTTAAGTACCAAGTCTAATTTACTTTCTGATGCTATCAATCTTATATTTCTTCTGGATCATCAGGGCTGAGGTAAAGATGAACTTAGATGAGCCATTCACAACTTAGTGTTATTAATGACATGTTCATGGAGCTGAATAGAAGCCTCAGCACTTAGAACACTGGCTGCTCATCCACAGGGCCTGACTTTGATTCCCAGTTCCCCAAGACAGCTCACACCTGTCTGTACCTCCAGCCACAGGGATCAGACACTGTCTTCTTGTCACCACAGGTACACTGGCAATACTTATACACCTAAATTATAGTTCATTCTTTAAGACTCACGAAGAAAACCCTTTTTACAATATGGAATCACATCCATATCTGTCTTTTCACCATTTGCATATCTGGTGCCCTAGGAGGCCATAAGAATGCACCAGATATCCAGGACCTGCTAATACAGGGAGTTCTGACCAATCTGATGTGGGTACAAGGAACCAAACTTGGGTACCCAAGAAAAGCAGTACTAGTGAGTCAACTTTCCATGTCCCAAAAACGTCATGATAAAACCAAAGATGAAGATGTCCCACTGCTCCTATCAATTGAAGGTGATGAAAGTCCACTCTAGATGGTTGTCAAAGCATTCAATGGATTTCTATACCTCTGTGAATGGAGTCTTCAAATTCTATAATTTAAATGGTTAATAATTTTAGGTGTCTATGATCTACTTCCCCTATGTGAGTTCTAGTGATGAAACCTAGGGAGCCATTTGGCTTCAAGTGACCTCAATGGCACTTATATGGCTTTAAAAAGTATTTATGTATGTGCTGATGTAGGAATATGCACATGCTACTCCCCAAGTGTAGAAATAGGAAAAAAAAATTGTAGGAGCAATATGTGTCATCCAGAGATAGAACTCAGGTCATCAGGATTAGCAGCAAGAAACTTTACTAAATGAGGCAATTATTTGGCATTCAATTGTGGTTCTCAGAAAGTATTATGAACAAATGCATAGTCTTCAGAATAAACAAATTAAAAATGAATGGTAGTATATGTATTTTCATATGGAAAGTGGATTTATTATTCAAATTGTCCTGTGTTCTTTTATCCTTGTATGAAATTATGTTTATAATCTGAAAAGAAGGCAATAGTTTACTCATGTAATATTTCCACTAATCTTATTTGAGGATCAGTGAGACAGCTCAGTTGGAAAGGTTTGTGGTGTGCAAGGCTAGAAACCTGACCTTGATCACCATATAAAAAGGATGAAAAGTAGGCAGCACAAAGCTCTATTCTGGTCTCCACATATCTGCCATGGCCTACAATCCCACAATTACATTATACATGCACCGTAAATGTTTGTTACAAAATAAATCTTAGTGCCATTATATTATCAGGCATCTCTGGAAAATTTCCTTAAAAGGCAGTACTTCAAGATAAAATGACAAATGGTTAACTACTGGGGATAGAGAGAAGCATGGAATGTCAAATTTTATATATATATATATATATATATATATATATATATATATGTTATATATATATATGTTATATATATATATAAAGCTATGATATGAACAACACAGTTGATTGCTGGTTATCCTACTTCATTTGTTATTCTTGGTTTTTGAAGACAGGGTTTCTCTATGCAGTTTTGGTGGTTGTCCTGGATCTCACTCTGTAGACCAGGCTGGCCTCGAACTCACAGAGATCCACCTGCCTCTTCCTCCCGAGTGCTGGGACTAAAGGCATGCACCACCACCACCCAGCTATCCTACTTCATTACATCACTATCAGAAAAATGAAATTACTGCTTTGAATACACAATGAGGTGTTTAATGTTTATTATATTCTCTTCTATTAAGCACTTTAACATTAACATTATTCAATAGTGTTGACAAAACAGCAATATTGGGAGTACATCATCTACTCTTGGACTTGTACTTAGGAGGTGGACACATGAGGATCATGAGTTCAAATTTATCCTTGAATCATTATTGATATCCAAGCCAGGCTGAATAAGAAACAACAAAATCTCAAGGGAATTTGTGAAAATATGAAAAGCAAAACAAGGAACAACAACCCACCATCCTTTCACAGATACTGTTACTTAAAAAATATGATCACACACTGTGTGATATTTAAATAAACAATGGAACATTTAGATGATGGGGATCCTACATACATCATAGCAGAAAAATACCCATCACTAAATAAAAGCACAATAGAGGATCAACAAAAGCCACAGAAGAAATATAAGGACCACAAAATAAGCTTCACTAGATGGATTTGCCACACATATAGCACACTTTAGTATCTACCTCAAAATTTTCAAAATAGAAACTACAATGCAGGGATCACCATCATCAGTTTGAGTGGACAAGGTAAGTAATTTACTACTTTTAAGGATACAATGAAAAAGAAATAAAACAAATTTTCCCTAATCTTAAGACAAATTTGATTTCTAAAGTTTTTACCAAATGGTTTACATAAATAGGGTTTTTCTCTTGCATGAGTTTGTCCCTATTTCCTGATTTCAAAATTATATAAATAGGCTTTAAAATATTTACAGGGCTAGAGACATGGCTGAACAGTTAAGAAAGTTCATTCACAGGACCAAGTACTAATTTTTGACAACTTCCTGTAATTCATCCTAAAAAAGATCCAAGGATCTAAACATTCTCAGGAACCAGTATGCACATTCACATACATACACAAACACACATCATATCACATAATTAAAATTAAAACAACTCTGTAAACAAATTTTCACTGATAATTTTTTCTCTTCTAAGCATTTATTCCTATAACACAGGTGTTGAGGTATCTAACAGTTTACTTACAGAGTTTTTTCTTAATCATGAATTGGATCATGTAACAGAAAACAAACATGTAGACTTGAAGTCAGAGAAATCAACCCTTGTAAGTTGGTGGTATCATTTGGGAAGATTTAGGAAATGCTGCCCTGCTGGGGGAAATATGTCAGTAGGGGTAGACTTTGAGAATTTGCATCATACACCATTTCCAGTTTCCACTCTCTACTTCATGCTGCAGGTTAAGGATGTAAATTCTTAGCCTCCTGCTTTAGCTGCTATGTCTGGCATTTGTTGCCATGCCAATTGGTATCCCTCTGGAACCAAGAGTCAAATTTAACTCTTTTATAAGTTGACATAGATATTATATCACAATAACAGAAAAGGAACTTACACCAATCCATAGTTTTAGTCCTGCATTAATTATTTCATGTAATTAAAGGAAATATAAAATCTAAAAGAGTTACATTAACATCTAAATTTATAGTATGAGAGTTCCAGCTCTGGAGAGAAAGGTACCATGGCTGTTGGAAGTCTGGCTGTACCTACAGCTGTGAAAGAAAAATACCCTGGATATCTACAGCTGTGAGGAAAAATATCCTGACTGTTAAGAAGTCAGGCTATACCTACAGCTGTGAACAAAAGAAATCCTGGATATCTACAACTGTGTGGAGAAAGTATACTGGCTATTGGGAAGTCAGACTATACCTGAAACTGTAGAGGGAAGATATCCTGGATACTTACAGCTCTGAAGACAAAGGTACCCTGAATGTCACAAATCAGGCTATACCTACAGCTGTGAAGGGAAGGTATTATGGATACCTACAGCTGTGAGGAGAAAGGAATACTGATTGGTGGGAAGTCAGGCTATACCAGAAGCTATGTTCTGGTGGGGGGAATGGTCTCCCTCCAGGACATACTAATACTGCTCTTCTCTGAGAGAGATCCATTACACTTGGGCTCTGCTTCACTCTGCTAAGAGAGATGCCGAGGGGAGATACCAATTGCTGCTCTGATCCACTCTCCTAAGGGAGTTTAGCATCACAGTTTCTACTGCTTCACTAGGGACTTTCCTAGCAGAGTTTTCCATTTCTTCTCAGCCCTGGACCAGTTGTTACTTCTCTGCCTCACTCAACTAATGGGGAACTCTTGCAGAAATGTGGCAGTGTGCTCTAGCTCTGGTGAAAAGTTGCCACATCTTCTCTGCTCCCCTAATCTAGTTTCCCAGAAGAAGTGTCCCTTGTTTCACTGTTCCACTACACTAGGGAGTTTCTCATCAGAGATGTCCATTGCTTCTCTGCACTGTTCCATTAGGGAGATTCCCAGCAGAGATACTGCTCTGCTCTGGTGAAAGGTCTTCACCCAAAACTATTTAGGAGGGAGGAATCCAGGAGAGTGGCTGCCTCTGGCAGAGTGGAAAAGGGCAGCTGCCAACTGAACAGGAACAGGGCATTTATGAGCCTTCTTAGGGGCTGAATTTTTACAGAGAAAAGATTCTAAGGGTGGGAATTGATCAGATTTCAATCCCAGAGATCAACCAAGCTCAGAGATTGGCTGAAATTACTGTTTAGTGATTGGCTAGTTTTGTCATCAGGGATTGGTTGATTTTCCTGCCAGGGATTTACTTGTTTTGTGCTCATTTGGTCAGGCATACAGTGTGTTTCTTTGGCTCTGGGTTCAGGCCAAAGTGTATGTTTTTCACTGGCTCTGCTTTCAGGCTCCCATGTGTTCCTTTAGCTGGCCCCTTTACCCAACACATAGGGCTTCATAAATTCCTAAATTGATTCCTTCAATGAGTTTTCAGGGAAAACAATATAAAAAAGGACATCATAAAGCTCTATAGATGGCTAACATTGTCAAATTTTTTTCTATAGAATAAATACTCTTATGTAACTGAATGCAAGTGTGTTAGATAAAGATCTTACCAAATACTTTATAATAATAATCCCTGTGTATTTTAAAAGGTACTCAAAGACTATTGTAATATGCAAAGCCTTTAGTATATTGATTGCACACAAAGTTTTACTACTGCATAAAGTGCAAAACATTACCACATTGTCTATATTTTTAGTTTCTCTGCAGCATGACTTTTTTCCATGATTTTGAAGATTACTGATGTATGCAAAGGGTTCACCACAATGATTACATTTTTTTAGGGTTTCTCTCCGGTATGTGTTCTTTTATGAGTCTGAAGATTACCCTGTTGTGTAAAGGCTTTACCACACTGATGGCATTCATAGGGTTTCTCTCCAGTATGTGTTCTTTTATGAATTTGAAGATTACCCTGTTGTGTAAAGGCTTTACCACACTGATTACATTTATAGGGTTTCTCTCCAGTATGTGTTCTTTTATGCTTTCGAAGAACACTATGACTTGCAAAGGCTTTACCACATTCAATACATTCATAGGGTTTCTCTCCCGTATGTGTTCTTGTATGACGTTGAAGATATCTTTGTTGTGCAAAGGCTTTACCACATTGAATACATTCATAAGGTTTCTCTCCAGTATGTGTTCTTGTATGGCTTTGAAGATTACTGTGATGTGCAAAGGCTTTACCACACTGATTACATTCATAGTGTTTCTCTCTAGTATGTGTTCTTTCATACCTTTGAATATGACTGTCATATACAAAGGCTTTAACACACTGAGTATATACAGAAGAATTCTCTTCATTATCACTTCTTTCATGCCTGCAAGGAGAATTGGCACATGTAAAAGCTTTACCAAATTCAGTACACTGTTGAATCTTTTCGTATGTATGAATTCATATTTCACTTTGGTCCATTTGTAAAGAGGAATCAGATCTTAAGGTTTTATCACCATGTTTACACTCATGTTATTCCCTTCATTAAGGGTTGTTTTGAATCTTTGAAGATGTCCCTGTCATGGTAATATCCTTTATTACGTGGTCCATATTCACAGAATTTTATTATATGAAATTTCTCATAATTTGAAGAGAAATAGAAAAACTCAGAGCTTACTGCATTTATAAATTATCCTATACTTTGAGCCATACTATAGTCGTAGTACTCACAGGGCTTTTCTGCAGTGTGAGTTTGTTAATATGTTAACAATGAAGCTGCAAAATGAATTACTTGTATACTTGAATCAAATTCAACAAGTGTACTCAACATGGGAACTGCTACATATCTTCTAATTATTCTGAGAGAGAGGTATATTACGTGTGTCCATATCCCTATGCTCATATGGCTTGTATCTGGAGTGACATATGATATACCTAGTAAAGGAAGAATAACAAAAGGTTTCCGCATTGAATTCACAGTTTGATTTTTTATTCCACATAGAAATGTGGTATAGGGATCAAGGTTTCTCCACAACAAATGTCCCTCGACTCTTCATTTTAAGTGTCCTACTCATTAAACTTAGCACAGTCACAACAAATATATGAGTAACACTAGCTTTACTATGGACTATTTGCTTATTAAAATTTTTTGGAAATATACTTATCACCTCTTCAATGTGTATACCTTTTGTAATATGAGTGGTATGAAATAAAAAGATTGAGAGTTCTACAGCATAGCTCTCATGGAGCAATGATTCAACAATGATATCTGTTAAGGCATTCCTTCCTTGTCTTCTTTCTTAAAAGAATGCCTTGCAAATGCAATTCACCTACCTGAAATAGAGGTATATTGTTTAGAGAGAATTTAATTAGCATCAATGCACATGAAGTTGTGTTTATTTACACTGCTCCTTTTGTTTAAAACTTCAAGGACACATTAAAATTTCTTCAGGTGCACATTTGTAGCAGCTGGCACATGATAATTACCTTTCATGTCTTCTAGAACTCTGAAAATGTTCTTCAATATTATGGTCTTCCCAACTGTATCCTAAAATATAGTACCAGAAAATGTGGGTTATACTATTGAAAATTGTGCAAAACTGAAGTTCCTATCTTCAGTGAACCTTAGAACTATGCCTGATTTATTCATCTCATTCTTCTTTCTCAATCAAATTACAGAAGAGCATCAAAAACCAAGGAACAGTTGTCTCCTTATTTGAAAACTTGAAGAAAATTCCTTCTTACCTATGGTAATGAGGTTCCTGTAGGTCTCTAGCATCACATCTTTGTAGAGATTCTTCTGGGAAGGATCCAGCAAAGCCCACTCTTCCCAAGTGAAGTCGACATGTACATCATTATAGGTCACTGCATTCTAAAATATCCGATACATGTGTATAACAGAAAGAATGATTCTCACAACATTGTAAATGTATACCTCTTTGACAGTAAAGTCATATATTCTGGTGCTCCCCACAGTGATCCCATGACATAGACATTATAATGTAATCACCAAGTTACTTTAGAAGGAAACTGAATAGCAGGTTCACCTCTATCAATTTTGTACCCTGTGAATGGGATATCACCTTGTAATAGAAATACCTATTAAAAACCACAGATAGACAAGTAAACAGATCCACAGTACAGAGTACACATGAGAGAACGTGTATGAGCAATTACTAACTACAACAAAGATAAATAAGTTGGACAAGCTGGGTGTATTGGTTCACACATTTAACCCCTACACTCAGAAGACAGACATAGATAAATCTGCCTTGGAGTAAAATGCCAGTCTAGTCCATGCAGTCAGTTTCAGGACAGCCTGAAGTACATACTAAGACCTTGTCTCCTATGCAAAAATGAGTCACACAAACAAAAAAGGTAGGACTCAGAGGTTTTTACTGATGTTTCTACAAAGAGTTTTGTATTCATCTTGAAGAAACCCAATTTAAACTATAACATCAATAAGATTTCACTAAAAGGCACTGTATTTTTAAACAGTTACAAATAGACTGATGAACACATTAGCAACATAAATGTTGATCATAAATATTCAACACAGCGCAGAAGAAATAACTCAGTAGTAAGAGTTCTTGCTGGTCTTGATTATAAGTGGGATAATTACCAGTACTTACTTGGGGGATCCAACTCTCCATTATTCCAAGTTCAGTGTTTTGGAGACCACTTTTGATCACTGTAAGAACACAATATCCATGTGGTGCATATCCATGAATACAGGTAAAATACACATTTTCAATAACATTTTCAAAACATAATAGGCAGGAAGAAGGTGATGTACTTGCAATTCAATGACTGATAAGGCTCAGGCAATATTAATGTCATGAATACATGCCATCCTGGGAAAGAGAATGATACCTGCTGCCAATTTTAAATTTTTAAAATTACAGATATGACTGAAGCTCAGTACAACAGCACATGCTTGCCATGGACAAAAACCTACAGTCCAGAAACACCACACAATAATATAGCAAGACAGGAAAAAGGATAGGCAGGGATGGCAGGCAGAGAAAATAAATGGCATGAGAGTAAAGGAGCAAGATTAAAGACCAAAAAAAGAGGAGCCAGTCACCTAACCACACAGGCAACCACAGAATAAGAGTAAAAAGTAAGATTATAGAAGTCAGAAAGGGAAAAATCTCAGAGGTAAAAGGTAGATGGGAAAATTTAAGTTAAGAAAAACTGGCTAGAAACAAGCAAAGCCTAGGCTGGGCTTTTATGTAAAAATAAGCCTCCATGTGTGATTTATTTGGGAGTTGGGTGGTAAGTCTCCAAAAGAGCCAAAAGTGAAAAGAACAGAAACAACCAACAGGCCCCATGCTCTAGAGTTCTCTTGGCAAGTGTAGGTAATCTCCTGCTATGGTTCTGCAAGCTCTCATGTCCCCCTGTAGTTCAGGCAAACCCAGCCCCATGATGCTCAATCATAAAACAGTGTGGAAGAATAATTTAATGCTTATATACTGCCACATGGGTTATGGCACATGATGTGAAATCTGCCTTATATACCTGTCCAACAACATGCAAACCTGAAATATCTCTACAGCTCAGAAACTACTTTTCTCCCTTGAAATGGAACTTCCCTGAATCAAGTCAAGCCTGGTGTCAGAATTTAAAAATATTCTAATCATGTATTGCTGAAGGATGATCCCCATCGTTTGTTTCTTTCAGTTTCTAAATTATTTGAAACATTCATAAGACAAATCTGAAAGTTCAGAACTTCTAAAAACCAGACCTTCAGTTTTCTAATCTGTCTCTCCACATCACACTAAAAGCAATGTCTTTGTGTGCACATGGGACACATATATTAAAAGCATCACATCCTCACATAGCCATGGCAGCAGTCTCCAACTTTTCACAGAATCCACTTAGGGAGTTTCAGTGGAGATGGGATACAGCACAGGTCACAACATGGACCAACAAAACCACACTCTGGCACATGGTGCATCTCAGTCACAGCAGCTCTAATACCTCAGCAGAACTGCTTCTCTTCTTCTAGGGTCAGATGTCCTCACATTCACCACGGCATGGTTTGTCGTCTACCTCACAGCTGCCTACAACACAGCCAGAGGAGAATTCTGGAAAGAATCTGCAAGCTCTCTCCCACTGGTACTCCTAATTGCTATGCCTTCCCAGGGTCCCACATTAGTTAAGGCCACCCAGCTGGGACTCAGGACTATAGCAGCACCCCTCCTGGGTGATCAGAAATCAAAGGACACAGACAGCAGTGGTCCTCCCAATGTTGCCCATCCATCCTAGGGACAGACAGGGCCCTAGTCTTTGAAATTTGTATTTTACTAGAAATGCTTCCAGTCTCCAAGAGCGCTTCCTGTCCCTTTTCCAAGGCACACGGTCGTTTGTGTACAAATTCCATTACACACTGATTTCCAGTGCAGCCGACTCTTTGCCTCATAGCTGGGAAGTCCTGCAGCCAAACACAGGTCACATTCAAACAGTAACTGTTGTTACTGTGCAACTGTTGTGAAATATAAATAGGCCATGAAATAGAAAACTGTAGGTGGTCAATAATATGGCTTGGAGTGAGGAAAGAGATTATGGACATGATGTAGTTATAATCTTGAAGAATTATTTTGATATGTTGAAACATAATTTTTGGCCATATGTTCCAGAGACTAGGGATTTATATGAGAGCAAACCAAGGATTACTCATGTCTTCTTTCTTGGAGGCCATACATCTTAAACCAGGAAAATAACAGATGTGTCAGGATGACTGTTAAGTCAGGACCACACCATTTTACCCAGATCTTCTATTTGGGTTGCATTAGTATAACTACAGTAATTGGATTTCATGATAAGTTCAGTCCTTTGTCCAGATTCTTGATTGTTCTGTTCCATGGGCACTAAGAAGTGGCCAGTCAGGACATTTGTGGATCATCTAAACTTGATTACCAGACTCCACATTACTAATCTCTATTACTGTTGAAGCAGGAAAGCTCTCACCCTCCTCCCTGGTAGGAAATATTGGGTTCTCAGGATTTGAAGCAACCACTACCCCATAAAGCCCTGGGCCTACACCCATTACCAGTTCTCCCAAACATATTCCTGGGTTTAGAGAAAGAGCTCTTTTTCACTCCTAAAACACCAGGCCCTTAGGGATAGCTCCCAAGGCCTAGGTCTCAGGCCGTTTTTGGCTCTGCCAAGCATGTTTCTTCCCACTGTGTGAGGACCTAAAGGGAAAGTCTGGATGATCAAGTAAACACTCAATATCACACCACTTTCTTTTTCACATAGTTGTCACCTTTCCCATACGTCAGAACTATGTTATTCTTAAGAAGAAGACTGGACCTTAAAGGCACACCTGGCCTGAATGTTGGTTGTGATCCTGTCATCCTCCCTTGAGCAGGTTGTTCAGGCCTGTTCTTTGATAGGGGGATGGGCCTAATGGCTGGTTGTGAATCAGGGTAGTCTCCTGTGTCACAGTTTGGAGGTAAATGTCTGGCCAGTCCTGGTGAACAAATGTGTATCCTAGCATCCTAGTAATTAACAGGCCTGGAGGCATATACTTATACTTGGAATGTTATAGAGGCAACCCTCCCTTAGCTAAATTCTACATTCTGATTTACTATTTCCTAAGCATTATTAAATCCTTTATATCAACAATTCTACTCTTCTAGTCAGAGTTAAGTAGCGGAGTGCTACTCAACGTAAGAGATGCCATTTACAACATCCACAAAATCAAATACAAATGCACCTCTCACCCAAATGTTAAATATAAAGTGTAGAACTTCTAGAAGATACTAGAGAAACTAGATATCTCTGAATTTAGTGACTTGCTTCCATGGATATACCAAAGCTTGTTGACCTAGACTCAAAAGATATTTCTACACACAGCTCCCTGTTCCCAATGCTCTGCACAGAGGCAGATCAAGAAGTGAGGTTTTTCAGAGGTAGGCATCTGGGGCCTGGGAGTTTCAAGGACCACATGGGACTTCACAGGACACTGAATCTGGCAGCAGGTTCCTAACAAATGCCAGGGAGAACCACCACACTGGCTCCCTAGGCTCACATCCACTCCTCCCCATCTGGGGACAACCTCTTGCTCACCATGTCAAAGCTTTGCAGATTGTCTATGCTCCCCACTCAGCTCCCTGCAGCAGTAGTCAGAACAGTACACAAAACCACAGGAGCCCACTCTGATACATAGCCAAGCCTACATCCTGGCCCCAGGAAGAACCCTGCAACACGTTTGACTGGTAGGTCAGAACAGAGGCACTAATTGGCTAGTGAGGACTGAGTAACAAGAGCACCTCCTTTAAGGTTACAGTGTGCTTAAAGACACAGCACAATGGTTCCTGTCCCTGCTTTCCACCCCAGACCCAGGCTTTTCTACATCTACAGAGATAAGCATTTCAATAGCACTAGCCCCTGACTCCAGAAGCTGACCTGCTATCTTCCTCCTGTACACAATGTGGCTAGCTAGCACCGCCCATTACATGTAGCTGAAGTTTTCCTGGTCCTGCCCAGCTCCCGCAGCCACTTGGACCCATGTAAACACACAGAGGCTTACATTAATTAAAACTGCTCATCCATTAGCTCAGGCTAACTATTGACTAGCTCTTACACTTAAATTAACCCATAATTCTTATTTATGTTTAGCCACGCAGCTTAGTACCTTTTCTCAGTTCTGCCTCCACATCTTGCTTCCTCTGTCTCTGGCTGGCAACTACTGACTCTTCCTAGAATTCTCTTCTCTGCTTTTCCCACCTATATTTCCTGCCTGGCTACTGGCCAATCAACATTTTATTTATTTACCAGTCAGAGCAACACATTCACAACGTACAGAGAAATATCCACAGCAATCACACAATATGGAGTAGAGTTCCACAGGTCAAAGGATGCCCAAAATTTGACAATTAAAGAGAAATTTAGGACAGGAAAGGAGATGTTTGTTCTGTGGCTTCAAGCTAAGCTCAGGTGAACTGAAGGTATCTTTTATCTTGTTGTCACAGGGACTTCAGACAATCAGGAAAAAAAGGACAGGAACCAGATCACAAGATGAATGATTGGTCTTTCTGCCAACAGAAGACTGGATGATGGCTCCATTGCTTTAGGAGTTTTCTTCTGAAATTGATTTCAACCTCTTGCCCATTTAACAATGATAAAAAGTATAGTCTTCACAATTGGTCGAATACTGAGAGAGCAAGGAAACGGAGCAAGGAAGGATGCCTTTATTTATGAACATTAGTGGTAGGTAACACAACTTCCTCAGTGGGCAGGTGGAAAAAAACCACAGCAGTATTAGTCCAGGTTGTCTGTTTGAACGGAACTGGTAGAATAAATCTCTCCATGGTAGAAAGTGGGTTTATTAGAATGTCTCGCAGGCTGGAGTCCCGCTAGTCCAACATTGGCTGTCTACCAATGGAAAGTTGAAGAATTCTATAGTGCTTCAATCAATGAGCCCAGATGTCTGAGATGGCCTTCAGTATATTCTAGAATTTCTAAGAACTGGGCCCTAGAGAATAAAGGAATGACCTTCCTAGCCACAGCAAGGTTAAGCTGTCAAAGAGAAAGAACTTCCTTCTTCAATATCCCTTATGTATGTAGGCTGCCATCAGAAGGTAGCATTTTATTACCTCAAAAGATCCAGATTTAATTAAGTAAAATTCCTCAAAGACATATCCAATTCTTTGTGTATTAGTTAATTCCACAGGTAGTCAGTTTGGGTACCAAGAATAGCCATTACAACAACCAAGACAGAAGAAATGAGAAAGATTTTTTGCCTGCAGGAGTCAAGGAAAGCATGGTAGTTATTTCTAAGCTATGTTGTTCCTAAACAAAGGAAGCATGGGGATTTTATTTAGGAAGTCTGGTCATGATCATGGAGCATTCTCCCTCTTCCTAAGCATGTTCAGTTAGGAAATCCATCAGAACATGATCTGAACATGATCACCACATAAAAGCAGAAAAATTGGAGGGCATTCTCACCTAAAAGTCATGCAGAAGCATATATAAATGATAAAATGGTGTGAAGCAATGCCTCTGGCATGTTCACAAGGTCTTAGCTGAAAATCAAGGAAATGGCATTGTAAAATTAAATTGCTTTGGAGCCTATGATACCTGTCATCCATGATGTTTCACCTAAAAGACAGATGTATCAGTGCCACAATTCTCACAAAAACAAAACACAGGGGACACAAACAGAGAAAACATCAAGGAAAAGTCACCTATTAGCACTGTGGTCACTACTCTTAGTTGGATGGCTCTGATGAGCTATTTTGAGCTCAGAAGGAGGCTGCCTTTGGCTCTGGGCAGCCTGGCTCAGAAGAAGGCCACAGCTGCTTCCATTTGGGACAAGCAGGGGTTCATTTCAATTATCCCAGGCTGCTGTCTGTCTCAGGCCCGTGACATCACTATAGAGAATTCCATTCTTTCCTTTTCCTTTTTTTTTTTTTAACCTGTTTTGGGTTTTATTTATGTGGGTGTTTTGCCTGCATGTGATTGTGCACAGTACCTACAGAGGCCAGAAGGCATGAGATGTCTGGTACTGGAGTTATAGCAAAGCGTTACCTACCATGTGCATTCTGGAAATGGAACCAGTGACATCTGGAAGAACATCCAGTGCTCTTAACTGCTGAGCCATCCCTCTAGCTCCTCTTTTTATTTAAAATGTATTTCTATACATTTTAACTAAAAGATATTATGTTACTTTCTCATTTTTTCTCTTCCTTCCAACCCTTCTCAAATACTTCCCTTCCAACAACTTCCTTTTTTAAGTATGTATGAATAAGTATGCCAAAATAAATGAAGATAACCTGCTGAGTCTGTTTTTGTTGGACACACACATACATACATACATACATACATACATACATACATACATACATACATATATAAACTAGTGGCACAGAAGAGGACTCAAACATCTATGTCAAAGATCACTATGAAAAGTGTCTTCCAATAGGATGCCTTTCAGATATCCATGACTTGATATCCAGGTTCTTTTCATTTTGAGCAGCAAACAGGGCAGTGGAGTAGTCTCATTTGTAACTGATAAAATAACCTGAGTCAAAGTATCTTTGGGGGGAAAACATTCATTTGACTCATATCTTTATGGCACATCCCTATCAAACAAGACCTTTCCATTCATGTTCCCCAAAGTCTCATGTTAATCACAATATAAAAAACACTTTCAACTTCTTAAATCCCATAGTCTTTAAAAATTTCAACATTTCAAAAACTGTATACAATAAGTATAATAACTATACACAATATATAGGCAATAATTATATCAATAATGTCTAGTCTATTAACATTTGACAAACTCAGAGTGAATACTCCATTATTTATTATATATTGGTGAATCCAAGTGTACCTAATTCAGTTTCTATCCTAACATGTATTACCAACCAAAAACTAGCTTTTGATGTCTCTTGAATTTAAACACTTTACACCTCCTTAGAGAGTTTCTTTTCTGAATTTGTAAACAAGGAAAGCTATAACTATCTAGTCTTCAACTCCATCAGTGATCAGAGAAGGAAGTAATATTAACTAAATAAGCAGGAAGCACAAGCAAGTGACTTCTCAAAAATGTGAGAAACGACAAAAACAGCTGACTGCCTGAACAGTCATCCAAGGTTCATCTGCAGCATTGGGGCATCCATCTTCAGCCTAAAGGCCTAGCATATCTGACAGACTTATCTGTGAAGCAGGATTGTCTGGAGGGCTGTCCTAACTTGTCTTGGCAAAGTTTAACAGTCTTTTATTTTGTGTCCTGCTTGTCCCATTTGGACAGCATACTGTCAGCAGTTGAGTCAAGAGCATTTTCTTGCCCAGTGGCTAACATTTGCCACAAAGAAAGTAAACTCTATATAGAGTTTTCTTTGATGCCCATCATCTTCTCTTAAGTAGACTGGTGTTGCCAGGAGCAGACACGACTCATTGTCATAAAAGAACCTGTTATTAAAACATCTTAAATGCCATATTCTGTAGATCTCTGAAGTGTTTGAGGATGACCTGTCTATCTAAATACATCTCTGACTTTGATATGACTACAAGTTTGATTATAATGACTAACTACTAACTTGCATTTCTTTATATCCTAGTTAGTTGGTAATAACAACTTTCAAGGACTAGCAATTTGCATTACATTGTTAAGTGTGATGTATAGGCACATTAACTTTAACAAGATTAGAAATGTATGTACAGTATGTTCTAACAAAAATAATCTTAACTTTGTATCAATATACAAAGATTCATATCAATGTGAAATATTTAAAACTAGTAGTTGCATTTTAAAAGTAGATTCAGTAATCTACCTTTTTATCCTATTATTTCTATATCTTTTTTCAGAGTAGATTCAATAACTTACCCTTTTATCCTATCATATCTATCTTTTTTGTCAGAGTAGATTCAATAATCTACTCTTTTATCCTATCATATCTGTGTCTCTTTTTTTCCTTTTTTTTTCCAACAAGAACCCCGAATCTAATCTCCTTTGTTCAGCTTTTTTTCCTGACATTACCAATACAACTTGTAACCAACAACTCTAAACAAGAACAAACATCCATAACCCATTGAATGGCCAAAAACCACCCACCCCACCTCTTGGGAATGTGGATGTCATGTTCTTACATTTACTTCCTGCTGTCTGGGGGCAATGACATCTTTAGAGGATCGTGAAAAGAAAAGTTTGAGTTAATTGTCAAGTCCCGGAAGAGGTAGCTGTATCATTTGTTGTCCAGTCTCTGCATAATGGGAAAGTGTAGGGCTTGTGTCAAGTCCTGGCTAGAGTAGTCTGTTAGGCTGGATCATCTCAGCTAGCCACCTCAAAACTGTCCTGAGCAGTTTGTAGTCCGAAGGCAATCTTTGGATGGTGGTTGTCAGCTTAGTGGAATTATATTCTATGTGGAATTATCATTGTTGGGTCCCATCACCTTTTTGGAGACTTCAGAGATCACATTAGGTTTTTTAATTGTTCTGGGAAGGAGTTTCTTCCATGACAACAGGAAATAACTGAATTGAATTTGACATGGTGGCCTGTGAGAGGCATCCCAAGGCATTTCCCAATGGCAAAGGGCTACCTTGTCTGTTTCTTGTTGCTATGGGATGGTTTTTCTGTATGCTGTGAATATGTGTTGCTATAATTGGTTAATAAAGAAGCTGCTCTGGTCTATGGCAAGTCAGGTTATAGCTAGGCAGGAAATCCAAGAGAGAGACAGGAAGAAGAAAGGCAGAGGCAGGAGAGATACCAGCCTGCCACCCAAGGAGCAACATGCCAGCATTCTGGTAATACCGCTGTCATGAGGCAAAACATAGATTAATAGAAATGAATTAATTTAAGATGATAGAGCTAGCTAGCAAGAAACTTAAGCCATTGGCCAGTTTATAATTACAGTTTGTAATTAATATAAGCCTCTGAGTGATTATTTTGTAAGCTGCTGTGGGTCCACAGGCCTGGGTGGGACTGGAGAAACTTCTGGCTACATTTGGCTGCCCAATGTGTTGGCTCAAGTT